TTTTTTTTTTTTTTCTTTTTTGTGAATTTGTAATTTATTATTGAGAGACTGGGACTATGAGTTGATGTCTTGATGAGTTATAATTATGATTTGTGAAATGTGATTTGTGATTTGTGCCATGTTTAGGATCGTTTGGGTGGTGTCTTTTTTAGGTTTCGTTTGGTTTTTTTTGGTGTCATGTTGTTTTTTTCTGTTGTCTCCTGTTAGTTGCGTCTTGTTTTGTTGGCTTTCTCTCTTGGAGAATGAGCCCTGTACTCGAGGCTTATTCCTTATGAATGAGTAACGTAGACTGAATTTATGTTTCTGGTGGAAAATCGATCGATGTGGACCGGTCTGCGTTGACCGATCAACGTCCGCCCGGGCTGGGTTGGTGGGCTGGGTCCGTCCCTGGCCACCAACCATCTTCTGGCTAATTATTACTGCAGTGGACAACAAAGGCAAATTTGGCATTGAAGCCATAAATTAGGTTTGAGGAGATATTTATTGATTGTACAAAAAATCTATTTTACTACATTCCTTAAGTGAGCTATTTATTAATCTACCGCATCGTTTATAGTTGGTGGGTAACTTTTCTTATCAGATAAAATAAACGGTTTTTTAAGGAAGAGAAATGGATTTTTCCATTTTCATTTTCTTATTTTTCATAGTATTTTCTCTTTTTCTTTTTACTTTCTTTATTTCTTATTTTAATTCATAATCATTTTAGGATACCATACTACGGCTAAACTAATGTTTTCAATTCAAAACGAACCCCATGTGCAAAAGTTTTGATATTACACACATAAGATGCAAGAATCAAAGGTTTGCGACCTCAATGTCACAAGGTCAAAAGGTGCGAGACCCCAGGTGAGATTTTCTCAAAATTTTACATCAAATTAAAGTTTATTAGCCCAATTTGGTGATGGTTGAAATCAGATTTTGTAAATTTTGAAAAAAGTGAAATGTATGATTGAGAAATTGTTATCCCTCGAAATTCAAATTAATTGTTAAATTTGACTTAAATTAAAATCTAAATTTTAATTTTCACCAAACAAGGAAACGAGTGTTCTTATAATGACACGTTATATTCTATGAATGATTTAAAACACAATCACCTCCCATCACATACCTTTCTATAACTGCTTCTGAACGTTTTCTTCTGCTAAAGTGGCATTTCCCCACTTCCCAATAGAGTGTGGTATATAATTATATATTTGTTAAAAATTAAAAAAAAAAAATAGACATTTCTTTTATATGAAATAATTGATGGTTAAAGAATAATCCCGCTGGCACATGCTTTTCACCACACACATAATCTGCTTATGAATTTGAAAGAACGAGCATCTAAGAAGATGGCTCACACGAATATTCAGTTTTCCACGAAATATAATTAGAAATTAAAACTGGTAGTAAATAACAGGGTTGAGTACAGTATAGAAATCATTATAAAGCATCACGCAGACCTTCAAAACCATTCATACAATTGGTTCGATCAAGATAACCCAAATAATAAGACGTCCAACCCATAAAATGAAACTGTCCAACAAAGCAAACGAACTACATTGCTGCTTCTAACCTGCATTTCTGCAAGGAAAACAAAGAGTTGAGATTTTGGGATCTCGACAACTTTCAGCACCAATGGACTTCTTCACCTTTCCAGCTCTGCCCTGCAAATTCCTGTCAAACCAAACTGTCGGACTTGTTCACCGAAACACCTGTACACATGATTAAAATAAGTTCTCGATCCTTATAAGCAGGAAACCTGGACCTGCAACACTCAAATATACAGTGAGATCTGTAACTTCCTGAAAGAAAATTTAAACCAAAGATCAGTGAGAACTCACTAGCCTGGTTTGTGTTGGGCCCAACTGCATATACAAGCAAACACGCAATAACATGTAACAAATGAGACGTGTAACTATTTAAACTTCTAATGCAAATTGCTTATGAGAGCATGAATTGCCGATAGTCCAGGCCAGATTAATAATAACACTAACAACCCTTGATTGCAAGAGGCGATTTCAATACAAGTGCATTATTCAAAGGCAACTAAACAAGTAGTACCGAGTGACATTCGCAATTGTTAATAATTGAGATACAAGAGACGTTGACGGCATTCAGAAAGAAGTAACTATTTCAATAACAAGCCAAGCTACGTGGTTAACACCGTTAATGAAGAGAAAAAATTGTCTGTGTGTCATTCATTTTTAATTGCAAGATTTCTGTAAAAACCATATGAACCCCACCCTTTCTTTCAAGACATAGCATCCAAGAGTAATGACTGTCTTCTCCTAGTCACATGAAAATTTTAATATATTTCACGAAATAATATTATTTGACAGTTATGAACTCAGCATATTGTTTGGTATCTCCTCAATTTAAGTAACAAATTCGTATTAGATACATGTAAAAAGTAGAGTATCATAGAAGGATACGCAAAAAATTGGTTATTACGAAGATTTTGGTTTGCAAGGTTCTTACGAAATTGAACTGAATGGAACAAGAATTTTGTGTGTTTTGCATAGAAGGCAGAAAACTGGCTTCTTTTTCAATAGAAATACAGGTAATGAAAAACCACAAAGGTGTCCAACTAGGTTCCCTATTTAAACGGAAATGAATAGCTGGTGTGCATACTGAACATAATAGGTATGGCGGCAAAGATGAAGGGATACAAATATAGAGGTGTATGGACCTATGGTAGATCAGTTAACTCTGATGTTGTGGTGTGTATTATAACATTTCCTGCCAGTCTTTATAAAAAATTAAAAAAAAAAAACCTTTCCATGAAGTCAACCACATATCAAGCATGTTGAAAAGGATCAGAAAAGCATAAATGTCAGACATTTTTTTTTCATATTCCTTAAGACAATTGTAAACCTGCACACCACCTGCACAGTGGAAAATGCGCAGTAAGCTATACTAAAATGGACGGGTGGGCTCTCAGGAAAAAGATAAGTTTTTACTCAAGGAAATCATAATGGTGCTCAAAAGATAAGAAGAACCAACCAGTGCTCAAATCATCAGTACCCATATCAACTTTGAAGTGGTGGCTCCTGGTCATAGTACCGATATCCATTGTGCACATTACCACGGTCATCATTTTCATTTCTATCATCAGCCTCACCAGCATTTCCCTTGTTAGAACGTTCCGCCTCTTCCTTTTCCCTGTTCCATTGCTCAATTTTAGCTCGTCTCTCTTCACTACCTTCCCTAGCAGGACTGCGATCCCTCCTTCCACCTGGGCTCCTGCTTCTACCTCTCTTACGAATAGGACTTGTACTTCTGCGCCTCCCGCTGCGACCCTCATGGTAATCGCGATCATCATATCTCCTCCTATGACTGCGATGGCTATGAGAGCTCTCTTCATAGCTACGGTGCCTGTAAGGGCTTCTGCTTCTGCTACGCCTCCTCTTGTATCTCCCAAACAAGTGGCGTCTCAATTCCCTAATTATTGTCACATATAAGAGACACTTGATGAATCATCAACTTAACACAAACCACTTTTCTTACTTTTCCACCACAAGAAAGTACAGGTTTTTACCTGCTAATTCTTTTCAGATGCATAAAGTTGCAGTACCCACCACGATTGCAAGTATTCTCATCATACTGCCTACAGGTAGCTTCACGAAAATCAGTAACCGGAGAGAAATCAACAATGATGGGCCGTCCTGAAGAGATGATATTTGACATCAGCAGATGCACCATAGTATCTTTTCGTCTCTCTTTCGTTTTTTGTGAACATTACATTACATGATCATAACTTGTTACAGTGGAACAAATCTAACAGACTATTTCAGACTTATTGTAATATTTATCAATAAAACACTATAGACAGAATCTCAAATATAAAAAGGAAAGAAGACAACTATTTCAGACTAGATTTATAGAAGGATTCAGCAATTTAAGCCTATATTAGCCTAGGTATGTGAATATTTAATAACAGTATACTTATCCATATATTTCTCCAATGAGGAATGTAACAGATGCCGGGATATGGTAACAATCTACAAACAGAAACATCAAAGAAAGGAGGGAAAACTAAGTTTACCAAAATAGAGAAAGATGGAAACTCAAATGGCCAGGTTAAGAAAGAGCATCATATTTAAATTTTAATATAGAACCACAAGGTACTGTCATACTTGTCATTCAAATTTGAACAAGTGAAACAATAGACCGTCATATGCTAAAATTAGGTAATGCCATAGTTGTCAAATTCACCATCACTCCACTTTTGCATAAATGGAGAATAAAAAATAACTTGAAAATGAAGTTGGGATTATTTATTAACTGAAAAGAATTTTAGTAAGGTACAAATTATGCCCCTGTTTGGTGGGTTTGGTGGGGATTAAAATCAGATTTTTTGTAGATTTTGATAGAAGTTGATGAAATGTGTGGTTGAAAAGTTGTGGGACCCATAAAATATGTGGTTAAAATAATTTGAATCTAGATTTTAATTGGTACCAAACATGGGCTAATATATGCATGTAATACTAAGCTATTATCCTTGTGTAAGTTTAACACAAAAAAATAAAAATAAAATGTTAAGACCAACGACTAAGAAAACTCAATAATGATGAACACCAAGATGTATTCCATTACCAGCATAAAATCTGCCAGTCAGATTTTTCACTGCATTTGCAGCATGCTCTTCCTCTCTGAACTGGACATAAACATTGCCAACCTGCCAAAATATAGGAACTGCATATTAATAAGATCCAAAACGCAAGAAGACAAAATATGCAGTAGAATACCACATGGACGAGTCAGGGGAACTTACCATGTGGTCAGCCAAATTGTCGCAGATGTTCAAGCTTTCAATCTCTCCATACTTGTTGAGCTCCTCAAACAAATCTTCATAAAAATCCTACATCATCATCAGAAAGTAAATAACCAAGCCATTAAATCCCACATTGCACCACCCACTGAAAGATATCATGAGCAGAAAAAACACCCCCATATAATCTCATAGGATAAATCATCATCGCGAAATAAAATGAAATACCAGTTTGTATCTTAAACTTGCCAGAAAAGCAAAAGAGAGAGGTCATAAAAATGAACGACAAATTGATCCAGCAATCTACAATAAAATCAAAATGTAGATTTAGATTTCTCAAATTTATTCATGATAAAATAAGAAATTGGAAGTCCATTCACATGCAAACATTGTTTTCAAAACTTAGAAATCTCTCCCATTAAGCTATATAACAGAAGAAAAGTAAAGTACCATAAAATATAAAAATAAAACATAGATAATACAGTAGACAAATGATCAGATTATAATTAACATTGATACAAAATTCTAATGTGATAACCAGATCGGAAAAAAGTTTTAGTCAATCAAAGAAAATAAACCTACAACAAAACTAGGGTTCAAAACCGTAAGAAAAACTTTCGTAAAAGATATAAAACACACAAACCCAGTTCAACGTCATATTTAAGTAAAAAATAACAAACTCATCAAGTTAAACTTCATCAAAATCACTATATCAACTAAACTAAAAACACTCTACCGTAGCCCAATTACAATAAATCGTTTCCACGACATATTATAACATCATTTAGAACAACACAGGAATCTACAAAACTAATCTTTCTCCAAAAACTGGGGATTACCTCGAAATGTTCCTGTATCGCTTTAGGGTCGATGGGCTGACCCTGAGAATCAACACCAGGAGTGATCATGTCAGGCCGCTGGTACATGTTAGACAACAATATTGTTGGACTTATGCTGGGCTTGGTATGGAGCCTGGAACACCGGTCCCCGTGTCGGCACGCACCGATCTTGAAGTAGAACGGGCAATTTACTCGATCCTTCTCCGTCCCAAATATTGATGCCAAATGTTCCGCCATTGATGTTGATAAAATCCGATTTTTGGATAAAATCCGATTTTTGGAGTTGAATTGTGTTATTAGGGTTAGGGGAATTTGGGGAAAGAGAGGAGAGTGAGTTTGCCCTTTATATCACCGACGTTTCTACTTATAGGGCTCGCGTTTCATTTCGGGAGAACGTGTTTGGGCTAATCTAAAACAGTTTTAAATTTCAAAATAAATTATTTTTATCAATTTACAAAATAGAGCATTAAGTTATTAATATACAACCTTTTTTTAACCTTGCCCAAACATGACCGAACGAGAATTAAACACGTATTTAAGATTTAAATAAAAATAATATTCATTGTTGAACAGAATGAGGTGGTTTGCCCGAGAGGTTAAGGGGGAAGACTTAAGATCTTCTGCACATAAGTGCGCGTGGGTTCGAACCCCACAGCCACCACTGGAATTTTTTTATTTTTTTCATGGTTTCAGTTCATTAGATATACTGATTTCACAGTCGAATCCTTAAGCTCGATCTAGAATCATTACACCAACAAAATAAAATCTAATGTTTTGTAATGTTATGTCCTTAAGGTTTGGAATCTTCATCTCTTTTCTAGAAGCGAGAGTAAACCATCTCTCTTCTTGATGATCATTATCAAAGTGTGAGAAATTTTGCGAAGCCAACTCCTCTATCGTCTTACATTTCCTCTGACGCTGAAACTTCGTAAGAAGTCATCTCGAGAAATCTATATGGAGGGTCCTAACAGGAAGTAGCCACTAATTTCTTTCAAATTAAATAGTCTATCTGAGATAAGTACCTGCTTTTATGAATTTTTGTAGTTGCCTAATTCTCCATTGTTAACGTGGAATCAGTATTGACAGAACAAACTTAACGGAATTTGGATACAAGACAAAATAAAGATATATTTCACTAAGAAGTGATATTAAGTTAGTAGTTTCTAATACAGTAGAATACGATGTGGCAGATCACCAACTCGCTTCGCCATTGATATTGGTTCTTATAGTCTCAAAGTTAGGCAGGGTGCGTTTTCACAAACGAAAAGAAATTCTATTACAAAAACGTATCAATTGACAACAAATGACAATACTTACAATCAGTGCTGCTCTCTGCAGTTTTTCGTGCGCCATTCTATTCTATTACAAAAACCAATGGAGTAATCCTGACTCATGAAAACAAGATAATCAACTAACGAAGGGACAATTATAGACCCTCAGCCAAAAACCCAAAGAAAAAGGAAGAAAAGAAACCTCAACAGGCACAATTAATTGTGCAAAAGAATAATCAAAACTTCAACAACCTCCCAAATCCATCTCTAATGCTAAGCTGGTTTACGTACAATTTGACCCTTGCCACTTCTGAATTTAGAAATTGATTTATTGGGTCACCGCCCTCATCCCATCTGTGAAATGGAGTCGAGTAAAAGTGAGCCATCCTGCCCTACGATCCCTCCTTGAAAGGAGGCCGGGGAAAGAAAGCGCTATTCTTCAAGGATGTACGTATGGGAAGTAGGCTCACTGTATAAACATTGTCACAAGTTTTGCAGTCGATGGTCTTCATTATGTAATAAACTTAAAGTAAACCAGCAAGGATATCCCCAGGATCTGATGAGGCAGTTGGTGGACTGACTGGCTGAGCTGGTGGAGGCACAGGTGCAGGTGCTCGAGAAGGAACTGGTATGCTAACTAACTGCTCTTTAATGAACTCCTTCAATCTGTGCATAAGATGTTTACAACAATTAATTATGAGGTACAAATGGATGCTATAAACATTTTTGTTTTGGGCTAAACAAATTGAAACATACTCAAAAGTCAGTGCAGGATCTCCTGATGCAACGGTCATACGCAACTGGGTTCTATCTGCTGGATCTGTTTCCATTCTTATCTGAACACGAGAAAAGAAATTTCTGATCAGAGAGTTGTCATTTAGAAGTGCTAATGGAGTCTTAAACCCTAATGACTGAATTTCACAAGGGAAATCTATAACTTCTCATCCAACTTGAAAAAAAATTAAAATAAAATAAAAATTCATTCAAATATCTTTCAAATTTTTCTGAACATTGACTCAAAACAAGCAACTTAGCAAAGAAAATTTGCATACTTGGTCCTGAATCTACTGCCTGAGTAGCAAATTGGTACCCAACCTTAATGATCAAGATGATCCTCAATCTTCAACGAGAGTTGCATAATCAATCACCAATAACAGAGAAGGTTAAAATTTCCATTAAATGGACATGTAACCCTCACGGAAACATGCCTTACTTGCAGATTTCTAGGACATCGGCTCAACTTTAGTGTGCAAGGGTCATGTGATGATTCGATGGAGATTTGGAAGATTTCTATTGGTGATTGTATAACTATAATGAAAAAGAGAACCGACTTGTTTTTTAAACGCTATGGCAATTTTCCCTCGAGCAAAATTACAAAGTATAGATAAAGATGACAAAGCACAATTCTCTAAGCATGCCCTGGAATATGCATTTTTACAAAACAGCCAGATTCGTTTGATGAATAGACAGGTTATGCTCGGAGTCAAAATAAAGTTCTAAGAGCAAGGGTCCAGGCAATCTTTTCATTGAATGCCCATAATGGGGTTCGCTGTAAAATTCCTAAGTAACATTAAAAACAAATGCACAGAAAACAGACTTTCTAAAACCAGCTTACCAAACATAACATGGCTCGAGTATTTTCGGAATAGAACGTTGTGCTAGCGACCATATTATTGGGATTGGGATCCTGGACAGGAAATCAAAGAATAAACTCCCTGATTATATAGAGGTCGAAACTATAAGCATGGAGTGAACTGAAACTGAATAAGATCAGATACTTACAAGCCCAGGGCAAACCGTCAACCGTAAACTGTTAAATAAGCTAGCCATTTCCACTAGTGGCATTGGTCTTACACCTCTAACCTGGTACAATTATAGAACAAGGTTAGATATATATTATTCTAGGTTAGACATGTGAAGTTGAAAAAAACTTCCAAAAGGCACGTACAACTTCTTGGAGCTTCAATGGTGGCCCTGAGAGTGATCTCCACTGTGGGAAAAACTCTTCAGGAGACACCTGAATAGGCTGCAGAAACTTGTTCAACACAGCAGGAAGGCGCAGTTTAGGATTGACCTGATGATGCAAATGTCCATATTTTAGCAAATATAAGTAAACAGTTTCTATTTTTTGTTTTCAATTTTATTTTCAAAACTAGTATAAACTTCGTGGGAACAATACCACATGGGTTCCGAACTTATATGAGAAATCAAGAACGGCTACATCTCTACTTGGCTGGAGGTTGATTACTTCAAGTGGGCATTGCACCTAAGCCAGCAACAGAGTTAATTTGGACAAAGGAAATTACCTTATAATTAAAGATGAATATAGAAGACAAGATTAGTTTCAGAATGAAAGACAAATCAGACCTGTGCCCTTGGTGGAATAGTCTCAGGCACTAGTGAGAGTTCCATTTTTAAATGTGACGGGGGCAATATCAAAGCTTTAACTGAAACGAGTGGAGCAATATTCTTATTTCCCAAGAAAAGAATGAGGCGTCCATGCTGTGCTCGCCATTCAGCTTTAATGCCAATCTGGAAAATTATGTTACAAAAAGAATACAGTTATCAGATGGGGAAAATCAATATCAGCGTATATTGTTTGAAAGTTTACGAAAAGATTGTGCACCTGAATATAAGGGTCCTCGTATAGCACACCACTATCCTTAAGGCATAAAGCATGAAACCTTTCAGCAATATTACCTATTGGCTGTAAGAACCATAGAATTCAGAAAGTCAGAAGTATAAAAACATGATAGACTTGGAACTCGGAATAATAACTTTCACATCAGGACTTGCTCTGCAGAAAATATTCTGAACAAGCCGCAGTATGCAATAAGTAAAAATTATATGACTACCCAGTTTCCAGTAAAGACTGTAGTTTCACCACAGAATTTAGGTACCACTCCATGAAATTTAATCATCCAAAATAAAGGAACTTGTACAAATTTAGTGATTTTGAGATGGTGAAATTTGGTAGCAAAACCAACTTTATCCCAGTACACCTGGAAGATGCATAGTCAACAACTGAGTATAATTTATGAGCAAATTACATTCATACCCTATGAGATAAATGACTATATCCCCTCTCTTTTCAAACTTACCAAAACCTCTGGTGTAGTAAAACATACATCCATTTCCTATTTTACTCTTCTTATGATATATTTTAAACTAGACTTTCTAATAAGAAAATTATTTTTAGCTTAAAGAAAGTTTTTTTTTTTCTAATTTTCACCCTTTACAAACACAATTACACCTCAACATTATTAGTCAAAATTAACTTTTGTATATCTTTATACATAGGAATAATACAAAAACATTTTAATTCATACCATATTATCATGCAATTTCAAATTATCTGTATTGATTATAATTACAAATTTTTAAACATTTATTAGTGTTCATTTGTTAATGATTTGCAAACAAAAAAGTTGCTTTCAATCATATTTGAAAAACTTCATAATTTGTTAAGAAATAAAATATATTACATAAATTTAATTGAATGTTACTACATAAATTTAACTATTTCTTTTAACTAAAAGCAAGAGTTGCATTTCAATTAAAAAAAAAAACTTGAGAAATTAGAAAAAAAACTAAAAAGGAGAGAAAAAAAAGATATTGTAAATGTCATTTAATAATAGTTTGAAATTTCAATTATGTTGTAAATACAAAAGGGAGAAATTGGAAACAAAAAAATTGTTTTTGGCTGACCGGCAAATCTGTTATGGAAGCAAACCTCGAGGGAGGTTTCTATAGTTTTTTAAAAGGGAGGGGTGTCTCAGCAATATTCAACTACTTCATGTGGTGTGTGTAATTGTTTCTAATTTTATTTCAAAATTTGATGTACATGTAGCCTTGTAGTATTCCATTCAGTCCGCAAACTCATGCAGCCTAGGTTCCTCAGTGGCAAGACAATGCTTCAAAACTGATTGAAGACGTTTTCTTTATTCAAAATTTATGGACCCGTCA